CGAGGAAGGTGCGTCACAACCGTGGTCGCAAACACCCTCGTCCACGTCTCTGAGTAGAGAGCGCGGTCGAGCCTCTCCTTGACTCCAGCCCTCTCCCACGTAAAGGGAGGATGAGCTCACAATCCGAAACAGCATGCGAGAAATCTAAGATCTCCGCAGATCGGTCCGAAACACCACCAATGCGTTCATCGGGATACAAGAATATGTTGAAATCACCGCTAATCATCCACGGTAATCCCTCCATACTCTCAGCAATCTCACGCATGGTGTCCCAGAGGTCATAGCGACCAACCCTCGCACAGCTGGCATAAACCAAAGTGTGGAAGATCGGCTCCGGAAGATGGCCGACGATGAGCTTCACGTGCAAGACTTGATCAGTATCTCGAAGGATCTGACAAGTAAAGTCACGCGAGTGGAAAAATCAAATTTTGTTAGAGGTGTTTCCCATCCCAGTATGAAAACCAAGGCGTCGCGAATATACGTCAAAAGAAGGGTCACGAGTCATAGGCTCTAAGAAAGCCGCAAAGTCAAGGTTATGCTCACGAGTGAGAGATCTAACATGAGCAAGGGTGGTCCTATTAGCCAGACCACGGGCATTCCATGTAAGCGATGTCACTGACATGTCAAACGTCAGTGGGACCGCCTAACTGGAGCTGTCCGTGGTTAGGCTGCGTCTGTATATCTGGTAGGGTCAGAGCGCGACTAGCAGAGAGCTGCGCAGTCATCGATCTGGTCTGTGGTCTCCGGTGCTCTGGGATCTCCTGTAAAGGTCCCTCTCGTATATGTGGAAACTCCTGGGGTAAGAGGATGAGCTGAAGGTGCTGTAAGCCCTCAGAGCTCTCGGAGCTCTGCGTCTGGCCCTGAGGGGAATGCGGACCAGACCCGCTAGCGGAGGATGAGGGGAAAGTGGAAGGGAGGGTCAAAAGGGGGTGAGCAGGTGGGCAAGGGAAAGCGGTAAGGATAGGGGAAGGCTCAACAATCATAAGGGCTGAGGAGGAGGGGGGAACCTCGATACACAAAGGGATGGCAGGAGACTCTATCCCATCCGCTAATAGGGCATCATCATCAAAAGGGGAGTTGGTCGATGCGCCCAGATGATCGGAGGAAATGTGAAACTCCTCCTCCGACTCCGAGTCAAGCACAGAGAAGCGTGAATGGGTAGCTATGGGAGCTGACTGGAGGTACTGGTGGGGAAAAAGACCTGTGGCTTTGGCCTTAGGCCTATTAAGGTTAACCTCCTTGGGCTGTGTGCCCTCAGATGTGACCTTGCTCTTGCCCTTATGTCCCTTCGGGTCGGGGCCGTGGGCCGGGGCCTTGCCCTTCTCCTTAGGGCTCTTCGGGCCGGAGGTAGAACCCTGCCTCGCTATGCGTCGACGAGGGGGCAAAGCAGGTCGGGGCTTGTTGCC